AGTGGATTAATGAAGATATAAACGGGAAAATTTCCAATTCCCAATATGGAGGGCTCCCAGGATCTTCGACTTTGTATGCCTTTCTAAATCTACTCCACAACTGGTATAGAGCAATGGACGAGCCACAAAGAGTAATACGAATAATTTTTCTTGACTTTAGAAAAGCGTTCGACCTAATTAATCATAATATACTGCTACGAAATATGAAAGAGATGGGAGTTAGATTGGGCTTAATCCAATGGTTTGGAACATACCTCAATAAAAGATCCCATTTTACTAAATTTGGGAATGATATGTCTGATTATGCATATATCAATGGCGGAGTACCACAAGGAAGTAAACTCGGACCAATTGCCTTTGTAATAAAGATTGATAAACTTCTCACTGTAATAAAAGAAGAAATTCAACTCATGGTATCAACCAACATGGAAACTACTATTATACTTGAACATGATACATTAATGTTTATGGATGACACTACATTATACGAGGTACTAGATGTCAGCCACCATATTTCTGGGAAGCAACTGGGTGGTGCTGAAAGTAAAGTTAAGAGCGTTTTGAGGTTTACTGAAGAAGATATGATGGAGTTATATCAAACGAAATGTAAAGAAATGGTAATTGACTTCGGGAAAATGTAACTGTTATTCCACCGCTAGAAATCAATAGTCATGTATTTGAAAGGGTTAAATGTTACAAATTACTTGGTTTATGGATTGATGACAATTTGAAGTGGTCAACTAACACATGCTATATTGTTAAAAGAGCGGTAAAAAGACTGTATTTTGTGAAGATGTTAAAAGGTTATAATGCACCAAAGCAGGATTTAAAAGCCTTTTATATAGCTGTCATAAGATCGACACTTGAATATTGTGCTCAATTGAAACTTAACCAAGGAACAGTCTACTGACATAGAACGAGTTCAGAAGCGTGCGCTTAGGATAATTTGTCCTGGACTGACTTATGAAGAAGCATTACTGGACTGTAACCTTAAAACATTAAAGGCTCGCAGAGAAGAGATGTGCGGAAACCTTATAAAAACAATGATAGACCCTAGAAATAGATTTATTTATTTATTTAGCTTTGCCAACTAGGGCAGGGTCACCACAACAGCATATGCCAATTACTGTGGGCCCATTTTTTACCTAACCCACCCTGTCAACTTTCCCTGTGGAAAGAAACCGGAGTACCCGGGGAAAACCCACGGCTTTCGGCAGAGCGTTGACTTTTACTCTTTTCACATGGGGACTGGGTTCGGGTCGCACTGAGAAGGTACTTAGTGAGACTTGAACCTGCAGCCTCAGAGGTGAAAGGAAAGTACGCTAACCACTTGGCCACCGAAGCCCCTAACAGTTCATCAGATAAGACAGAGACAAACTAGATCAAATGAAGAAAAACTGTATAATTTTGGATATCGAACTGAACGATTTAAAAATAGCCCAATTGTGTATGGGATTGAATGTTTTAACCGAACGCTGGAGTCGAAGTAAATTTATCGAATTCTTTCAAAATTTTTAAAATTTTTATTTAAGATTACTTGTAAATATTGACTCTTAACATTAGTCTTAGTTAATTTTTTTATACAGTTTAAATGTAATTCACATTGTAAATTAGTATTTAGTATTTACTATTTAATGTGAAATTCTAGAAAGATTAAAGATTAAAGAAAGGCTTCCCAGCAGCCTTTCGCGCTCGTATTCGACTTTTCTGCTTTGCTTGTGGACAACCTTAATTGAAGTAGCTGTATATTTCCCTGCTGAACGTTGTAAATGTGACAGAAAATTTTTTTGACAATATTTTGTATTTTAATAAAATTCAACAGTGAAATCATCCTACATAAGACATACCATACTGCAAATCGTCTGAAAATTAAGAAGAAAATAGCCATATTTCTTTTCAGATGGTACTTCAGCTGTAAACATGCATAAACAAAACACAGTTAAACTAACTGAGTTAAATAAATAAAATTAGCAAGAACTGATCTGTACTAAGACTGGAGGACGATTTTAATAATGGCTGTTTAGGTCTATTAATGTTTAATTTTTGTTTGTATGTATTTTCCAACTGTGCCGTTCAATACTCGGCAAAGCAGAAATCAGCAAAAAATGTCCATCCCGGTCACGTGAGATTTTGAGATAAAGCCTTCATATGGCTGGCTTGTTTAGTTTCATGTGAACACAAATTGAATTTTATCAAGGGTATATGCATGCGGATCCCACTCAGGTGAATTTCCCACTTAGCTGGGTTATGAACACGCCCTTACTTGTACCACCACAGTTGTGGTGCTGTTAGTTTGTGAAGAAAACCCAGCAGGGTGCTGAATATGTCCTTGAGGTGGATATCCTGGGTTTTCAGGTGGATATCCTGGGTTTTCAGGTGGATACCCTTGGTTTTGATAGCCCCCTTCATATTGTTTCTGTGGTGGATACCCAGCCTGTTGTTGTGGGGGAAAAAGGGTAGGTTGTGGTGGATAATCTGTGTTAGGTAATGGTTCATATCCTTGATATCCATGCTGTGGGGGGTGGTGTCCCTCTGCGCTGTAGGGTGGTGGCTGTTCCATCTGGTAATAATGATATATTAATAAAACATCCTATAAACCAATTCAGAGTTTCCACTGCCGCGTTCGGTTGAATCATAAAATGTAGCTGAGCCGATAGCCTGAAATTTAGAAGGGGAAACTGAAATTTTCGAGCAGGCTACTGAGCCGACTGGAAGCATTAAAATGTGCAAAGTTTTGGCTGTTCAATCGTTATTTGTGTTTCACTTATAGCCACAATAGAACTTAACTCATTTTATGTACTAACATTTTTTTTAACACTCCTGTGTATAAAGCAAAATATAAAGAGAGGTATACATGGGAATATATTTTCTAATTTAAAACGAAAATATATTCCCGGCTTAAGTGTGCCTTTTTTATTTTGCTATATACTATAGTACAAAAATAATTTAATGGACAGTTCTACTGTGGCTAGAAAGTGAAACACAATAATGATTGAGCAGCCGAATACATCACCGAATACATGTTATGATTCAACTGCAATTTTTGCTTGTATATAGATCTCCTTAGGGACGGACCATTAGAAAAGTGATGGGGGGGGGGGG